GAGGCTGCACAGAGAAATTTTTCCCTTTCTCCTCTTAGTTTGCACGTCTCCTGGGGTTCAGCTTTGGGTTTGGCTCTGCCTCTGTATGTAGGTCGCCCTCAGGAGTCTGTTCCCACCCAGACAGGATGGGTTAAAGGAGAAGCTGATTAGGGGGCTCTGGCTCACTCAGCTGGGGGAAGGGAAGGGTACAGAATGAGGGGTGAGCCTGTGGTGGCAGAGGCCGGCGTGACATTGCAACAGCCTGAGGCACACTGTGTGTTCTCCCAGGAAGTTGTCCCTGGATCATGGGACCCTGGCAGTGGCAGGCTGAGCTGCACAGGCTCCTGGGAGGGGAGGTGTGGACAGTGACCTGTGCTTGCACACAGGCTTCTTGGTGGCTGCAGCAGCAGCCTTAGCGTTTCATGCCCGTCTCTGGTGTCTGCGCTGATAGCTGCGGCTTGCGCCCATCTCTGGAGCTCATTTAGGCTGTGCTCTGAATCCCCTCTCCTTGCGCATCCCGAAACAATGGTCTTTTGTCTCTTAGGCAGTTCCAGACTTTTTCCTGGACTCCCTCCCGATTAGCTGTGGCTCACTAGCCCCCTTCAGGCTGTGTTCAGGCAGCCAACCCCAGTCCTCTCCCTGGGATCTGACCCCTGAAGCCTGAGCCTCAGTTCCCAGCCCCCCGCCCACCCTGGCGGGTGAGCAGACAAGCCTCTCGGGCTGGTGAGTGCTGGTCAGCACTGATCCTCTGTGCGGGAATCTCTCCACTTTGCCCTCGGCATCCCTGTTGCTGCGCTGTCCTCCGTGGCTCCGAAGCTTCCCCCCTCTGCCACCCGCAGTCTCTGCCTGCGAAGGGGCTCCCTAGTGTGTGGAAACTTTTCCTCCTTCACAGCTTCCTCCCCGAGGTGCAGGTCCCATCCCTATTCTTTTGTCTCTGTTTATTCTTTTTTCTTTTGCCCTACCCAGGTACGTGGGGAATTTCTTGCCTTTTGGGAGGTCTGAGGTCTTCTGCCAGCGTTCAGTAGGTGTTCTGTAGGAGTTGTTCCACGTGTAGATGTATTTTTGATGTATTTGTGGGGAGGAAGGTGATCTTCACGTCTTTCTCCTCTGCTGTCTTGAAGGTCCACTGGTCATGTATTATTTACTGTGATCAGCGATTGACTGCTGAAATACGGTGTTATCTAAATTCCATTTTCTTTGTCAGGAAAAGCTTTCTTATTTCAGTATTTATCCTAAGCATTCATACCCATCCTGCTTTATTTCTATTGCTAATGGCTGTCTGCCTCAGGCAATGGTTCCAAAGGTATGAAGAGTGGCTCTTGTCCTTTTCATCCATGGTTTCACTCAGGAGCTCTCATACTAAAATGGGACAATAGGTAGTGTGGTATTAATAAGTGCAACTTCCAGCCCATTTTCTTCTTTTCTTTCACAAATTATTCTATTTTGACCCTTTGTTTTTCCTCCTGGAATATGTCAGCAGGGAGATGTAACAGGCTTTAGAAAATGCTGGTGGCAGGCATTATCATGGTTGGAAACAATATTATATAGCACTTACTATGTTCCAGACAGCGTTCAAATTACTTTATATATTTTAATTTTTAAATACTCGTGATCACCCTTTCAGGTAGGTACCATTATCAACCCATTGTACTGATTAGAAAACTGAGACACAAAGAAGTTAAGGCTGAGAAAGCTTGCTGATGCAGTACTGGATCTGCCGTGTGTCTGGAATTGGTGCTGAGGGATTAAAGTAGCCTGAGAAAGAGAGTATAAATGCCAGGTTTTATTGGAGACATCACTTGCTTTATGGTGTTGAGCTGGGCACTCACTTCCTTTCTGAGCCTCAGATGTTTCACCTGTAAAGTAAGGTGGTTTTAATATATAATTTTAATGGTCCCTCTAGTTCTAACATTCTGTAATTGTAAATGTTTAAGTGGTGAAAAGCATGTGTATATTTAAAAAGTGATAATAAATTTACCTAGATGTTTACTGTTTTCAGTGATGTTCATTCATTTCCCTCTGGTATCCTTTCCCTGAAGAATCAATAACTTCCTGTAGCTCTTTACTTGAATTTTTATTTCAGATATTCTCTTTTCGTTCTAAACTTTCCATTTAGTACATTTTTTTCTCTTTCTCGCCTGAGAATTTCTATCTTTTTATTTATTATGAGTGTAGTTTCCTTTATCACATGGAGCACAGCTGTAAAAGCCACTTTACAGTCTACCTCATATTTCCAAAATTCTGGGTAAACTTGGGCTTGAAATATATTGATTGTCTTTTCCCTTGAGAATGGATCATGTCATAGTTTTCTCGTTTTCTTAAGCTGAATAATTTTGGAGAACATCCTGGATGAGGTGAAGAGTCATGCTGTGGAGATTATGGATTGCTACATTTCTCTGAAAAGTGTTGATTTTGTTTGGTTTATTAACTTGGCTAGACTTAAACTGAAAACTCTGTCTCACCTGAGACAGGTAGCTCAAGTTCAGCTCTTTCATCTTTATCTGGATTGCTTGTAATCTGACCTGCGCATGCTCAGTCCTTCCAGACTTGGACCAGAGTTTACATGGAAGTTGGGCTTCACTTTATCTGAATCTGTCCTTTTTGGCATTTTCCAGTCACACTCCAGAGGCTGTGGTGCTGTGGGTTTTAGCCCTGTTTCCTCAGATCAGAAAGTCAGTGAGCTTGTTGCAGGTTTTTAGCTCTTCACACCACGTGGCCCCTCCTCAGGGCAATGCCAAGAGAACAGCAAGCTCAACTATGGCACTGCTGATTTCTTCCGAGTTTTGACACTCTCCCCAAACCGCCTGCTATTCTTCATTCTCTGAAGCCCTCACGTAGTTAGTTTTGTTTGTATTCTGTCCAGAGTTTATGGTTGTTATGTGTAGGAGGGATGGTCTGTTAGAGCTTAGTCCCTACCTAAAAGAGAACTCCCCAGTCATAATACATTAATTAAATCAGCTTGACTCCAGCAGAGCTTTGGAGTAGCTAGAAGAGCTATTGGTGAGCCTTTGGCTTTAATTCATCTTTTGAATCTTCCAAGTATGCATTTCAGTGCAACTCTGAGGACTGCAGTTCAAGACAATTATTAGTTTCCTTGGGGAAAAAAAATCCATTGAACTTTAAGTAATTATTGCATGTATCCACTAAGGTATTTATTGAATATTTACCATTTTATAATGTAGTAGGCATACAGCAAGATGCCAAGTGCAGTTCCTACTTTCCAGGTCTGCTTGGGGGCAGATTTTGGTAAAGGCTTTTCAGAGGAGGCAATTCTTCAGCTGCATCTTGGAGACCAAAGAGGAGGAGTTCCAGGTAGAGGAATAGCATGTGAAGCATCTACATGGTGTGGCACAGAGGCAGATGAGGGCGTGATGCAGATACGCAGCTCCACGCTGTTAGCAGGACTGAAGTGTTGGGTGTGAGGCCAATGGGAGGGTTGAGGCAGGAGAGGCAGAGTCAGACTATAGAGGAGCCTGAGACTAACTTGAAGGCAACAGAAAGCTACTGAATTATTTTAAATAGGCACAGGAGAAATAATCAGATTTGTGTTGTAGATTGGAGATAAATGGAGGAAAGAGAGGTGGGAAGTAGTTCCCATGGTCCCAGTAAGGCCTAAATAAAGCTGTGGAATTAAGAGATAAGGAGCAGAGAGAGAGTGAAAAGATACACAAGAGTTCAGCGGTTTAACCATATACCGAGTGAAATGCGAACTCATTTCATTGTCTACTTACTGATGGCTCCTGGCTTGTAGACAGGGTTGGTAGGTGGAGAAGTCAGCTTGAAAAGGAAATACTCCAAAGGTGCCTGGGAGAAACAAGCAGTGGGGAGACCCCAGGTGTGTCCATTTCATCAGTTTCCCAAAGAATGCCCTGGCTTTGCCATTATCCCAGCAATAGAGATCCTAGGTGTCTTATGTTTTAGACACATGGAAGTAGTTTTATATTTATTTTAATACAGTAAACAGATACTGTCCTGCCAGCATCTGGTAGGTACATTTTACACTTTCGTAGTTGGATGAGTGCTCTGGACCTTAACCTATGGATAAAGGAGGAATGATCGTCTCATTGGCCATCAGAAGCAATCATACTGACTTATATGACCTTTACCCTTTGGCAGTCTATTCAAGGATTCTATACCTTGGAAGAAAAGAGGAGGACTGGGTTGCTGGGATGTTAATATGAGAGATGTGGCCTTTGTTGTTGGCCATCTGACTCATTCTTGCAAGATAATGGGAGGAGTGTGAATGACTTTTTGAGTTTACTAGGTCAAGTCATTTTCCTTGACACTTTGGAAATGCTGATGTGCCTATAAACAGAACTAATATTGACCCGAGGGAGACTCTCTATTGTAGGGTTGGTGGCTCTTTTGTCTGCAAGACCCATTCTCTACTTCTAATAGAACAGCCTGAACTCTTTTTTTTTTTTTTTTTTTTTGCGGTACGCGGGTCTCTCACTGTTGTGGCCTCTCCCGTTGCGGAGCACAGTCTCCGGACTCGCAGGCTCAGCGGCCATGGCTCACGGGCCCAGCCACTCCGCGGCATGTGGGATCTTCCCGGACTGGGGCACGAACCCGTGTCCCCTGCATCGGCAGGCGGACTCTCAACAACTGCGCCACCAGGGAAGCCCCAGCCTGAACCTTTTGGGAAGGGGTAGAGTTCCTCAGAGGGAGGACTATGGTTATAAAGTGTGTGATGGTATTTACCAGCACGCTCAACATGACACATTTAACTGATGGGGAAGCATAAGTTTTTTTGTGCTTCCAGTAAGCAAACATGATTAAATTTTGGTTTTAGAGTTGGAAATTGTACTGAAATAATTGTACTAAAATAATGTTTTAGGGGGGCAGAATTCATTGCTTATAGAAAACTTCTTTTACCAATTATCTATACAATTCAGTGATTTTCAAAAAACTGTTTTCTAAACTATTTTCTTTCCTTTGACTAATATTTTCATATGGATAAAATAGTAAGAAGCCTTCTTTGCAATGTCATTTCTCTCTTTCCAATCTCATTTCCTTTTCAGATATTATCAGACGCGACACAGCCTCTTGAGAGTCAGAATTTTTCTCCTGTGGTGCGAGATGTAAGTTATGAAAAGAATTTCTTTTCATGAATGTCTTTTTCCACCACTATCCTTGCTCCCCATTCTCCCCTTTCCTTTTTCTGTCCCTGTCTTTCTCTGTTACTTTCTCTTTTCTCTATTAGTCATGAGCCCATGTTTGTGGGACTGAATGTGGTGACTAAAGAAATGTCTTGTATCGTATATATTCAGGCAGTGATTACATCCAACGGCACATTGTCTAATAAGTATAAATATATCCAGAAACTCCGGGAGAGCAGGTAAGCATCATTCACATCCTCTTGTTTAATACATTTATTCTTATCATGGATCTCATGAGTACTTTTTTTAATGCTTCCATGTGAGTTCGTGATGCTAGGATTATGCAATATGTAATTTAAAAAAATGTCTGTAAATAATAGGAAATTCAAACGAAGTGACTGCCTGGAACCATTGTGAATTATTTTCCCTTAAACAGTAGTGTAGCATCATTCTGGCTTTCTGTTATCCATGTAGACTTGGGTGTAAGTAAGCAAAACTCCAAAAGCTCTGTCCTTGTTCCTTCTCCAGCATTTTGCATGTTGTAATGTCTCAGCTATTCTCTCAGAGGAAAATGAGCTTGCTAACCCTTTCTGTGGTGCTTTCAGGCTGATTTTTGGTTGAGGATTTGGACTCTCTTTTGTTTCGGATAATACTCGGAAAAGTGAGCTTTTGGTTAGAAATTAAGAAAAGTAGTGAAGAAAGAAAATCGTGAGAGGTCAGTTTCCCCTGGGGATTCTTACTAGGAGGAAAGTGTCAGGAAGTAATGTGGCAAATCTACCGGAGAGAACAGTTCTCTTAGGAAGATACTTAGCTAAGGCCCTGGTTTCTATAATTGGTTTTACTACTAAAAGTTTGGAAACATTGACATTTCTTTGGAATGTTCTGGTCTCCAACTGATTGCACTTGATCCGTGTTTATATCTGCTCCACTGGCCTATTCACATTAAAAAAAATAACCCATGCACTGAATTCTCAGGAGAAGCCAGAGTGGGAAAATTAAAAACAAACAAACAAACTGCCTGGTCTTCTTTCTCAGTTTTTCCACCTATAAGAAGTAAATAAGAGCTGTGACCAGATCAAGTACTACTGTTACGCCTTTTCCAAATGTGTTTGTTAGCTTACAGTAATTTTTTGTGTGTCAGTGAAATATTCTGGCATGATACAAGAGTGTATAATTTGTTTTTTAAAAAAGCAACTAGTTCTATAACTCCATAGGAGAGTGTCTTGTAGGGGAAACCGCACATATTTGTTTTTCATAGTTCTGTGTATCTTTGAATTGTCATCATCAGATGATCTCTTTCTTACATTACTAATCCAATGACGTGTCTACCATGACCAGTCGCTCTTTACACACTATATTTCATGTAGCGGCAGGTCTGCTGGCCCCAACTGCTAGGACTTCCTGCCCTCCTTCCCAGGTAGAACCTTGTGCCAAGAGACTGAAAATGAAGATTGCATTTTGGAAGGGAATTGGAGTTATCTTGAATCCCTGCCTTGTTCTTTTGTTCTCTTCGTTCCTTAGCACAATGATTATTAACCTGGAGCGTTTTGGGGTTGCTGATGGGGTGGAGAGTATTAAAATCTAGGAGCGAGTTCTTAAATATGTATTTTGAACATTTTATTTTTTGGACATCAAAATAATGTGTTTCAATTACACAAACTACAGAAAGTGCTGTTAGAGAGGATCTGTAATAGTGTTTCTTTCTGGGAGGTGAAATGGGATGGGGGTGGAAGTTAAAGGAGTCGTCCCCTCATCAGTAATATGAGTTCTGGGGGTGAAGAGGGGGCAGGAACATTTTACATTTAAATTTATTTTTATTCACTTATAATTAATGAAATGAAGTGAAGTTAAATAAAGGTTAAGGTTTGAGAGACATCCTGTCCTAAAAGATTCCAGCAACAGAGCCTTCTGCTTAAGTCCCTGTCACCAAGCCATTCCGTTGTTTTATAATGTTATCTGGGACTCTGATTCAGAAGACATTTAAGGAGTATCTTCCATCTTTAAGGCAAAACACAGTGAGCAATAGTGAGTTTATAAAGACAGCTAAGACTCAGTCACTGTCTTGGAGGTCAGAGTTTGCAGGAAAGACAAAGAATTAGCTGTCAGGAAGGCACAAATTCCAACAACAGAAAAATTCAAGAATTAAAGTTCTGCCTAGTGACTCATGTAGGTTTCTACATTTAACCCATGGCATTTGTGATTTTAAAATTGTGGTTTTAACTGTTTTCAAGTGACCCTGAAGATAAATCACAAGACAGTGTGTAACATGATAATAATCTCCTCCTCAGATCGTTGTCTTCTCGGATTGTTGTGAGGAGTAAATAAGGTTCGATGTAAGGCCCCTAGCATGATTTTGAATCATGTCCCCCGGAAGGATAGAGTGTGACACCAAGTTACTCAGTTGTGAGTAGCCAGGCGCTGGTCCAGCATCTGCATCTCACTAGTGGTATAGGGAACTCATACACCTCAACAGGGTCTGTTGTTCATCATACAAGATCTAAAATAATGAAAAATGTTGGTATTGGGAACTCCTGTTGAGGTTCTTACTCTAAGAAGTGTGGGAAAAAAATAATTGCTTCACAGTCTAAGTTTTAGTCTGGTTTGGGGACAGCAACATTTTGTTATTTGAAATGTTTTTTTGTTCAAATTCCCTCCCCCCCCCCTTTTATTTATAGGGAACGTGTTCAGTCACTCTCAGTGAGCACCAAGAAAAAGGTCTTGGTTCTTGGATCTGGTTATGTATCTGAGCCGGTGCTGGAATACCTGTCGAGGGATGACAATATAGAAATAACAGTAGGTAAATAAGCCCCAATTTTTAAAGAAGAGGAAGTAAAATTGATTTCAAAACATGGCTACTCTGTGAATTTTAGATGACTATCTTGTTTCTGAACTTTGAAAAATTATTTTTGGAGATGTTAAAATGTGTTTTACTCTCTGACTAGTGGAAGGAAATCTAAAGATTGGACGTTTTAATTCTTGAATAGGCTCTGACATGGAGAATCAAATCGAACAGTTAGGCAAGAAATATAATATTAATCCTGTTAGCCTGTATGTTGGTAAACAAGAAGTGAAGTTGAACTCCTTGGTGGCAACGCAGGATCTCGTCATCAGGTTAGTAAATAGTAAGAAATGATTGCCATATATTTTGTTGTTGTTACTTCTCTTTCCTTATTTTCTCTCCTCTCCACTCTTCTCTTCTCCCCTCCTCTCCCCTGTCCTCCCTTCCCCCTTCTCTCCTCTTCTCTTCTCTCAGTAAACTTTTAAACTCACATGTGCCTCCAGGAAAGTGCACAAATCATAAGTTTGTAGTTCAAAGAATTTTCACAAAGTGAACACATGGTGTAACCATCATCCACATCAGAAACAGAATTTAATAGTATCCAAGAAATGCTCCTTGTGCCCCTTTTTATTACCAGCCCCATCCTTCAAGGGTAAGCACTGTCCTGGCTTCTAACATAGAGATTCGTTTCTGCTAGTTTTCAGTTTGTACAGTCGGAATCTTTCAGTATGTCCTCATTTGTGGCTGCCTTCTTTCTTCAGCATTGTGATTGTGAGAGTCATTTGTGTTGTTGTCTGTAACTGTAGTTTATTCTCTTTACTGTGTAATATTCCATTACGTGAATATGCTATTATTATCCATTTCACTGCTGATGAACGTTTAGGTTGTTTCCAGAATTTGGCTATTATGAATAGTGCTGCCATGAACAATGTAGCGTTTGTCTTTTGGTTACCATATACACACATTTCTGTTGGGTATTCACCTAGAAGTGGAAATGCTGGGTCATGAGGCACTAATGACGTATTTTGGTGGCTATTTTTTCCTTTGGACTTATAAAGCTTAAATGAAAGTGAGTAGATTCTCTAGCCCTATGACCATTTTTAGCCTTAGCAGAGGAACATATCTTGAAATATATCATTCATTACTATCTAATACAACTGCAGATCTAACTCTAGATACAGGGCTACAAAATGAAGGCTAGATACTTCACTTTGAAAATACCAAAGTGATAAGAATGAGCCATTTATTCTTAGAATATAATTTTTCCAAGGTAGAAGGAAGAAAGTTAACCTACTTTTTCATAATTAGATCACTTTCATAGTTAGATCAGATTCAAATGGTATCTTTGGAGGAAGTTCTGCAAGTTCTGTGCAAGTTCTGTGATTTCCTCCTTAAAAAAAGTGGGGGGGTGTTGGAAAACAGACATAAAGAAAGGTAATTCTAAGTGGGAACTTTTGCATTATCTCTTAATATAGGCTCACTTTGGACACTTAAAAACATTATTCAATTTATAAAAATTTAATGTGAATTAATTATTTTTCAGCAAAAGTTTATCAATAACCAATAGACCTTGTCTGTAAGGTTATAATTATGAAAGTAAGTCCTTCAAAATTTAATATTCTAGCCTACTGAATAAAACAAAGAGAATTTGTTTTGCCACACATAGGTACCTAAACATAACATTGTTTTTTGATTAAAAAAAGAAAACATAACAAAACACATTTTGAACAAAATCAGAAGCAAAATATGACAAGATAATGGACACGATAATAATCTATTAACAGGTGTAAAATTTAGAATTCCGTGACTTGGTGACCTGCAGTAAGATTTAGCATGAGCAAAATCTGTTTTATATTTCATTTTTCTCAGTTGAATTTCTGTGGTGAATAGTGGAAATGCTGTTAAACATTCCTGTAGTGTTTCTTACATAGCTTTTCATTTTTTAAGTTGGAGAAGGAATGTTTTGATGTAAACACAATGTTAGGGACTATCAAAGTAAAATGAGTGAAGAATATGTTTCACAAAAATTTTATAATATGTCAAATTCTCATGGTTTTATTTTGCAGTTCTGGTTTTTAACGATTTAATGCAAAGTAGGAATTGAGTTTGATAAATTACTTTGAAAATTAGATGTGTATTTTGTGTATGTTTTCACAAGTGGCATTTCCAACTATTTGGGTTAATTATGTCCTCTTGAGTAGTTGCTATGTTACATACACAATGAATTATGAACTCTAATCCCTTTGTCTGAAATAGGCACCATCAATGGAAGTTCTGTCGTTCTAGTTATCAGCATATTATTAGGTTAGTGCTGATAATGCCCAAATTTAAAAATATTGTTAGATCTGGATAAAATTTTTATCAGGCAGGTTTTCAGTGTGGAGAATGTGACAAAAAAATCCCCACTAACCTTTAAGATGTTGCCACTGAACATTTTCTATTAATACTTTTCCAACTAAGAGTTTTGCAAGTATTTCATTCATTGGCTTTTAAAGGGCTACCATATTTAGTAATAATTATTTTTGATTAAAAAAGCCAAAAAGGGCATCCCTGGTGGCGCAGTGGTTGAGAGTCCGCCTGCCGATGCAGGGGACACGGGTTAGTGCCCTGGTCCGGGAAGATCCCACATGCCGCAGCGCGGCTGGGCCCGTGAGCCATGGCCGCTGAGCCTGCGCGTCCGGAGCCTGTGCTCCGCAACGGGAGAGGCCACAACAGTGAGAGGCCCGCGTACCGCAGAGAAAAAAAAAAAAAAAAAAAGCCAAAAATCATGGGCTTCCCTGGTGGCGCAGTGGTTGAGAGTCTGCCTGCTAATGCAGGGGACACGGGTTCGAGCCCTGGTCTGGGAGGATCCCACATGCCGCGGAGCAACTAGGCCCGTGAGCCACAACTACTGAGCCTGCGCGTCTGGAGCCTGTGCTCCGCAACAAGAGAAGCCGCGATAGTGAGAGGCCCACGCACCGCAGTGAAGAGTGGCCCCCGCTTGCCACAACTAGAGAAAGCCCTTGCACAGAAACGAAGACCCAACACAGCAAAAATAAATAAATAAATTACTAAACTCCTACCCACAACATCTTTAAAAAAAAAAAAAAAAGCCAAAAAACAGAGATCAAGGGCTTTCATATTGTTACTGGCAAAATATGTACCCAATTTTATTCTGCATGATAATAAGTCTAAGTAACAATACTCTGTTCTATTAACCTGAAGAGGAATAAGTGCCTGAGAGGTGGTTTTATTGTTTTGTTTTATGTGAAATAGAGAAAATATGAGGAGGAATTTAACAAGTACAGTGATATACTGTAATAATGTTTACAAGTTTGTATTTATATTTTCATTGGTACTGTGTAGATTGCTTTGCCAAATAGGCAATAAGCTAGTAGAACTTAAATATTACTAAATGATTGACAGGATGCTTGTTATTTCTTGGTAGAATATGAGTATACTCATTTATATGTAAATTTATGGAAATTCATTTTTTTGTGATTGTGTAGTCCCAGCACCAAAGTAAAACACCAGAGCCAGATTCTTAGAAGACCCAAAGTTGAGTTTTGAGTACAGTTTCAGTTTTTGCTTACCATATAGACGTTTAGCTGTTTTGATAGCTTTTACACCTAACAATACCATTGAAACTTATTTCTTCCCCTGGCCTTTCCTAGACTCTACTCTTTAATGTAACATATGGGTCACTTTGACTTAGTTTAACGATAGCCATTTAGGAGATGTGGAGGTAAAAAGAATAGCAACGTTACCTTTTACTAAGGGACCCAAGACAGAAAATCATAGAAATATAAGGATGAGTAGAATAAAGTCCATTAAATGTTACAAAAGGATAGCTGAGTGCATACAGAGGAAGATCTGGATTTGGGGGAATCTGGGAAAGCTTCTTGGAGGATTTACCTTTTCAGACATTTCTTTAAGGAAGGTATGATCTGGATGGTGGTGGGTGGGTGAGGGACTATTTCAAGTGGAAGACACGGTGAGAGTAAAGGTTCACAAATGGAAAAGTAAAGACTGTGAGTGGAGAATTACAATAGCTTCTTTGGTCCCCATATATGGTTTATGAAGGAGATGCAAGGAGGAAAAATAGGAAGGTTAAGTGAAGGTCATATTGTGGCGAGTTTTAAATATGATAACAGGATGAATTTATTCTGTAGTCTTCAAGGAGTCATTGATCATCTCTGAGAGAATAATCAGTGTGATATCTTCACTTTAGTGCAGTTCAAGGTACATTGGAGGACAGTTGGCAAAGAAAGTTTCTGATTAGTTTCTCCTGTTTTTAAGCTTGTTGCCTTATGTATTGCATCCTCTTGTGGCCAAGGCATGCATCGCAAGCAAGGTTAACATGATCACTGCAAGCTACATCACCCCGGTGCTAAAAGAATTAGAAAAGAGGTAAGTTTTTGTAGGTTTTCAACAAAGTAGCTCCATGGAATTGTTTTTATTTTCTATCCAAATTTTCCTTCCTTCTCTTCCCACCTCTTTCAGTGTGGAAGATGCTGGCATCACAGTCATTGGCGAATTGGGATTGGACCCTGGTCTTGATCATATGTTGGCAATGGAAACGATAGATAAGGCCAAAGAAGTGGGAGCCACGGTGAGCCCAACTGACACCCAGAGGTCCATTTAGGAAAATATTAAGAGGTCCCGATTTTTGTGTACAGAAATACTCTTTCTATAATTCTGATTAAAGAAACTACTGTATTCTTTTTTTAAAGGTTATACTCCATTTATAATTATTTTTAAATGTTGGCTATATTCCCTGTGTTGGATATATTCCTTGTAGCTTATTTTATGCCTAATAGTTTGTACCTCTTAATCCTCTACCCCTCCTCCCTTCCCTCTCTCCATTGGTAATCACCAGTTTGTTCTCTGTATCTGTGAGTCTGCTTCTTTTTTACTGTATTTACTAGTTTGTTTTATTTTTTAGATTCCACATATAAGTGATATCATACAGCATTTGCCTTTCTCTGTCTGCTTATTTCACTTAGCATAGTACCCTACAAGTCCATCCATGTTGTTGCAAATGGAAAAATTTCATTCTTTTTTATGGCTGAATAGTATTCCATTGTATATATGTACCACATCTTCTTTATCCATTCATCTGTTAATGGACACTTAGGTTGCTTCCATATCTTGGCAATTGTAAATAATGCTGCTATGAACATTGGGGTGCATGTATCTTTTTGAATTAGTGTTTTTGTTTTTTTCAGATATATACCCAGGAGTGGGATTGCTGGGTCATGTGGTAGTTCTATTTTTAGTTTTTTGAGAAACCTCTGTGCTGTTTTTCACAGTGGCTGCACCAATTTACATTCCCACCAACAGTGTATGAAGGTTCCATTTTCTCCACATCTTCACCAACATTTGTTATTTGTGTTCTTATTGATGACAGCCACTCTGACAGGTGTGAGGTGATATCTCACTGTGGTTTTGATTTGCATTCCCCTGATGATTAACAATGTTGAGCATCTTTTCATGTGCCTGTTGGCCATCTGCATTTCTTCTTTGGAAAAATGTCTATTCAGGTCTTCTGCCCATTCTTTAATCAGGTTGTTTGTTTTTTGGATGTTAAGTTATATGGCTATTTATATGTATTTATATATATATATATAT